ACGGCACCCCCACCCCCCTGCTACCTGCCCGTGCAGCCCTCCAGACCGACTTTGCAGTGACGGCCATCCAGCTGACCCCCACCAGCCCCGTGACCGGCCAGCCCTTCACCGCCCGCGTCACCGTCACCAACACCGGCGAGATCGCCGCGAACCCGGGAAGCCTCGGCGTGTGGGCGGACAAGGCTGCCCTGGCCGCGTGCGGCGAGGCCGCCGACCAGACCAACGCCACTGTGGGGTCAATCGCCGCTGGGGCCAGCGTGACCGTCTCTTTCACTTTCACCGCCGGGGCGGTGGGCAACAAGACGTTCCGGGCCTACTCCGACCCGGCCTGTGCCATCCCCGAGGTGCGCCCGTCCGCATGGCGGCCCAGGGGGCCTTGCAGCGAGGCCGCGTGACAGCAGCAGGGGCGCGGGGGCCAGACGTGACAGCAATTGCAGGGCGGGCCGGCTGCATTGAGGCTTGCACCCTGGGCTCCTTTGGGCAGAGTTGGGCCTCTCCATATGGATCTTGGTGTTCTTGCCTGCGGACCCCTCCGGCCAGCCTGATCACAATCAGCGTGGGGGGCACTCAATCGCCCCTCCGCACTAGATATCATGCCGCTCGACGCGAGACCTGCGGCCCACCCGCGCACACACCCGCCTCGCCACTGCCGCTTTCTCCCCGTCACACGCTCTCCCCCGCCCACTCCCACAGAAATCCGATACCAACGACCAGCTCGCTCTGAGCTACACGGTCGTTTCGGCCGTCACCTCAAATGTCAACCTCGTCGCTTCCGCCCTCGCGATCACTGGCTACGCCGGCCCGCCCGCCACCCTGCTGCCTGGCCAGACGGCCACCGTCAGGTTCGTAGTTACCAATGCCGGCACCAGCGCCTCGCCGGCGACCACCTACGCACTCTGGGTGAACAAGGCCAGCGTCGCCGTCTGCAATGACGCCGGCCCGTCCACCATCGCCGCGGTGCCCGCGCTCGCGGCGGGCGCGGCGACGACACTCACCGCTATTGTGGCGCTGCCTGGCACCTCTGGCGCCTACACGCTCCAGCTGATTGTGGACTACCCCTGCAGCGTGGCCGAGTCCAGCGAGGCCGACAACACGGCCTCCTACGCCTACCAGCTCGCCGTCCCCGCCGGCCCGCTGCCCGACCTGACGATCACCAACGTCCTGACCAACCCCGGTCTCACCGGGCTCCTGCCCGTTGGTCAGCTGCTCAACCTCACCTTCACCGTGGTCAACCAAGGCACCGCTGCGTCCCTCCCCGGCCTGTACTCCATCATCAACAACCTGCTCGGCCTGCCGCTGTGCGGCGCGCTCGGCACCGTGTCCGGCGCGCTGGGCGCGCTCGCGCCGGGCGCGAGCCAGACGGTCAACGTGCCGGCCTTGCCGCTTGCCAGCATCCCTGGGCTGAACACGCTTTCGATCGTGGCTGACTCAAACTGCTCCAGCATTGAGGCCAACAAGACGAACAACGTTGTGGCGCTGCCCTACAACATCAGCAACCCCGGCGGCCTGCTGCCCAACCTGGGTATCACCAACATCCTGGCCACTCCCAGCCTCGCGGGGCTCCTCCCGCTGGGCCAGCTGGTCAACCTCACCTTTGACGTGGTCAACACTGGCACCGCCGCTTCTGTCGCCACTGTGTACACAATCTTTGATGACCTGCTCGGCCTGCCGGTCTGCGGCGTGGCCGGCACCGTCACTGGCGCGCTGGGGCCGATTGCTGCGGGTGCCACCCAGACCGTCAACGTGCCCAACTTCCCGCTCGCCGGGTTGGTCGGCGCCAAGACGCTGGGGATTGTGGCGGACGCGAGCTGCACCAACTCCGCCAACGGCTCTTCCAACAGCTTTGCGGCGCTTCCCTACAACCTCAGCAGTGTCACCGGCCTGGTGCCCAACCTGGGTGTCACCAACATCCTGGCCAGCCCCAGCCTCGCGGGGCTGCTGCCGCTGGGCCAGCTGGTCAACCTTACCTTCGACGTGGTCAACACCGGCACCGCCGCGTCCGTCCCCACCCTCTACACCATTTTCAGCGACCTGCTGGGCCTGCCGGTCTGCGGCGTTGCCGGCGCCGTGACCGGCACGCTGGGGCCGATTGCTGCGGGTGCCACCCAGACCGTCAGCGTGCTCAACTTCCCGCTCGCCGGCGTCATCGGCGCCAAGACGCTGAAGATCGTGGCGGACCTGAACTGCACCAACTCCGCCAACGGCTCCTCAAACAGCTTTGCGGCGCTCCCCTACAACCTCACCGGCCTGCTGCCCAACCTGGGTATCACCAACATCCTGGCCAGCCCCAGCCTCACCGGCCTCCTCCCGCTGGGCCAGCTGGTCAACCTCACCTTTGACGTGGTCAACTCGGGTACGGCCGCGTCTGCTGCCGGCCTTTACACCATCTTTGACGACCTGCTCGGCCTGCCGCTGTGTGGCGCCGTCGGCGCCGTGACCGGCGTGCTTGGGCCAATCGCCGCGGGCGCGACCCAGACCATCAACGTTCTCAACTTCCCGCTCATTTCGGCCATCGGCGCCAAGACGCTGAAGATCGTGGCGGACCTGAACTGCACCAACTCTGCCAACGGCTCCTCTGCTAACACCTTTGCGGCGCTGCCCTACAACATCAGCGGCGTCGACTTTGTGCTCAATAGCCTGTCCCTTGTGCCGAACACGTTCCCACTGGGGCTCCTGTCGCAGTTTTCCATCAACATGACGATTACCAACGTGAGAGCGTGGCCCGGGGGCAAATGCAAGCGCGCGCGGGTGTGCACGCGTGTGTGTGTGGGGGAGGCATGTGTTTCGTTTTCATCGTGTGTGTTGCAGGTGCATGTTGGCGCCCGCCCGCTTGCCCATCCCTGCGTGCATGATGGCGTGTGTCGCTGATGAATTGCGCACGCCCAGATCTCCGCACAAGGGCACTTCCTAGAGCTGCCAGACCGCACAAACCCCCCATCCCTTCGCCCCCGATCTCCCCACGCAACGCCGCACTGCCCCAGATCGGAAACATCGCGGGCGACCCGGGCGTCGTCGGCGCCTTGTCTGGCGTCCTCTCGCCCCTCCTTTGCGGCAACCCCCTGCTGAGTGGCGGCGGTCTTCTGGGAAGCTTCGCCTGGACTCTCGGCGCGATCCCCCCGGGAGCTACCGTCACAGCTCTGTTCCCTGGTTTCCTGTCCACTGGGCTGTTGGGGGTGCCTGTCAACATCTGGGTCGTCGTCAACAACCTGGTGAGAAGCACGCTCTGGGGGCAACCTCCTTGCTGGCATGTCGCGCTAAGCAGATTGGGCTCTTTGAGGAGCGCTCTGTTGGCTGCATTTCGAAGCCTCACCAGGGCATGAATGCTGCTGCTGCTGCCACGCTTGGTACACCCACACCTATTCCGCCAGCCCAGTCCTGTGTATCGCATATCCTGACCTTTGGTTGGGCCTGGTTGTTGTGCTTACCACCTCACCCATCCGCTCCCCCCCTCCGCTCTATCCCACCCCCCTTTCAGTGTGCCGTTCTGGAGCCCAACTTTGTCAACAATCAAAAGCTGCTGACCTACACCATCTAAGTTGCCCATCCGCAATAGAAGCAAGGGCACAGGAGGCTCTGATGTGTGAAGGTCCAGCTGGCGACTTGCACGACGCATTGCGTGCTAGCATCCGACTAAAGGGACTTGCGTGGTACACACGTCCGCCTCTGCTCGCCGCCTCCGTGCCGCGGGCCTGCACTGCATATGATTGGCCCTTGGTGGCGCCCTCGTGGCCCATGTGTTTACTGCGTGATTGCTTGGTGGTGGACACGCACTGCCCAAATGCTTCGCCATCAACGGCACTGCTGCGTGCGTGGCGCTGCTTGCTGTGGTGCAGATCTCGCATCTAGTTTGTTTTGGGTGGCTGCAAGGTGCAGCGCACACTGCATTTGACTGCTGCAAATTGCCAATGCGTTGTTGCGACCTCACTCCGCCCTTGGCTTCTGGGCGCGCCGCACTGGCAGAGATCTCTCGTGGCGTGAGCTCGGGCCGCTGCAGCGCTGTCTTGACGCAGCCGCGCCCCGATCCGCCCTTGCCGCGCCGCGTTGTTTTGGAGACACCTGCATCACCCCGCGCCCCACCATACCGCTGATTCGCGCATGCCCGCCGGCTATTTGGCAGCCGCTCGGTCGTGCGTGCTCGGTTGCTGTCAGCATTGCGGCCGCTTGCTTCCTGCGAGAAGGCTTTGATCACATACATACATGCTCAAGGGCTGCTGTGAACCAGTGGTGTGTGCGGGCGCCTACAAAACGGCCCCCACCCAACCCACTTGCCCTCCGTTGTCGCTGCGTTGCGGCAGCCCAAGGCCTCAGCTGGTCCAGTGAATTTCACAACTTGCGGTCTGGTGCCCGTTGCGCGGGCGCTAGCGGCTGGCCAGAGGTCTGCGCCATCACGTCTTGGTGGCGCTGCGCTGAATCTCACGCGAGTGCTGTTGGAACAGACGCGCGCCGCCGCGGCGCGCGTTGCAGATCCTCTTCCTTGCGCACAACGCGCACGAATCACTGGCAAGCAGAGCCAACTCTGCCCGTGTCGCGGCAGCGGCAGCCGTGCGGCACGTGGGTCCGTCCACGGCGGCTGGGGCCTGGCCTGCTGCTGTGCTCCCCTTGGGCAGTTGTAGATGGGATTGTTGCGTGATATGAGAATGAGTTACGGTCCTCACATGCGCCTGGATACCGCTTCCTGGGCACTGCACGTCAATGGCATTACTTTGCCTGACACAACCGCGTTGGTTGGACGCACGCCCACATGTTCCTCACATGCACGCCTCCATGTGTGCCCTAGCACCGTCACAAAGTGCCCGCACGAGCACATGCCGGCACACCCACGCCTTGGCGCACACATGTGCAGCCACGGCTGCACAGCCGCGCGCCCCTGGGCCGGCGCGCCCACCTTTCACAAGCCTTTTCAGAGATGACACAACAGCCGGCTCGTATTGTTGCGTTGCCGCCCACAAAGCCCCCACCGCTGCGACCTGCGAGCAGCTGGCCTCGGAGCGCGCTACCCCTCAGGAATATGAAAGATGTCTTCACAACAGCGCCCCCTTGCCAACTTTGCAGTGGCCATGGACCTCGAATTAGTCGTGTAACAGGCAATGTCGATTACTGCACCCTGTGGATTTGAGATGCTATCACAGGGGATGGCTGGATAGGGAAGCAGGTCGTGATTTGTACGGCTGCTACGTACCGCTGCTCAGCAGGCTGCTGCTTTGCAGTTGCTGTTGCCTGTGCTGCTGCTGCTGCTGCTGCTGCTGCTGCTGCTGCTGCTGCTGCTGCTGTCAGATAATCAACTGCCCAGCTGCAGTGTGCTCACTGCTCGCCGGCCGCTGCAAAGCGACTGGAAAGGCGAGCGACCCCCTGCGGCCCCGCCAGCGCGCACTGCTGCGAACACCCTGCGGCCCCTTGCCAGGGGGGGCTTTGACCCTTACATGTGAGACCGACGACGACACCTGCTCAGATGCAGCTGCCTGAGCGCGCCCCAGATGCGACGTCGCTGCCACCACGTGGTGGGACCACACCTAGCTAGCAGCCGGAGGGAGGCCCCCTGTCCCTGAAGGACTTACGAGGACCCCCCCTGAGCCAGGACGCCGTGCACCAGACGCAAAGCACCTCGCAACGCCACCTGAGAGCAAGCCGTGACCATTGCGGGACCGCGAGCAAGGCTGCGGCTGCGGGAAAACATGCGGTTCGGCGTCCGGCACACCGTCACACACGTCATTCCGGACCCCAAGTCTCGAGTATGCACTTCTTTTGAGAGTGTTCTACGTGGCGTTCACAAATCAGGCCCCGGTTTTAGCAACGCCAAGCGTATCGGTACTGCGCGGGCAGCCTCTCCGTCACCGTGGACTTCCGAACTTCCCGGTCACTTCAGTCACGATGGGACTACTCGGTCGAGGCTTGGAAGGCGTTTCAAACAGAGCGGGCAATCTATTTTCGTCAATCATATCGTCACAATCATGTGTGGCCGCTTGATTGCCGTCAAAAACGCCACCATACGTTGCAACGCTGTGTCGAAAGAACTGTGCTGAACAACCTCTATCGGAACCTCATCAGTGGTCCACAAACGCGCTTTTAGCACCAACCCTGTCGTGGTTTGGTAAGCGCTCTGCAGAACAGCCGGGTTGGTTGGGGGGGCGCGTTGGGCCACGCTTGAGGCCATAGGTGGGTGATGCACGGTGACAGGATCGGAATGATCCTTGCTCTGACCATATTCACGTCAATCACCGCCCAGCGCAGATAGCACGCCTAGCATTGTTCTGGAACCACCATGGCCGCGGATGGAAAGCGCACCAGCGGCTTGCAAGCCGCCGCAATCTGCGCTGTCCTGATGACACTGCGACTGCTGCTGGGTGAGGACGCGGCGCGGCCCCGCGCAGGCGTGCATGCACGCAGTGACCTCAGGAAACAATGAATGCGAATCATTAGTACCATTCATATATACCGTGTGCCCTACATGCTCCTGCGGCTGCCCACGGCTGCGGTGCGCACCTTCACTAGCAACCTGCCAATACAACCCACGTTGCTCCGCCTCCAGCACCTCCCTCACACCACCACCACCATTGGCGCATCGCAGCCCGCGCCGCCGCCCAGACGTGCTACGCGGGGGTCCTCTCCACGCCCAGCACCAACTTTGATGTCCAGTTCTCCTCCAAGGTCCTCAACACCACCCTCAGCTACATCAAGAGGCCCAAGACACTGTACAACCGGTTCTGCTTCAACGTGACGGCGGCGAGCCCCTGCAACTCGACCGCGCTGTGCTGCAAGACCAGCGCCATCACCAGGCTCAGCACCGTGTCTATCGCCATCGGTGCGTACGACAGGCTTCGTTGATCAAACCACGTTGGCCGCGAGGCAGGGCTGCCCACTGCTCGTGCGTGGCTGCAAGCAGCGCTGATGATCGGTGTTGTGGTGTGCGTGCGTGTATACGCGCATGTGGTGGGAAGGGGCCCAACGGCGGGCGCAGCGTCCCCACACGCCCACAAGTTCGCCAGGGGTCACCAGCTGGACGCCCATCTGCGGACAGTCAGTTGTTGGGACGTTTAGAGCGAAGACTGGCAAGGCGAGGAGGGGACGCCCACAGGCTGACTGAGGCCTTCGACACCCCCCCTCAAACACCACAAAACAACACATCAAACACAACAACACAACACAAAGGGAATCGTATAAAGCCCACACCAAGGAATCCCCCTGCGCTTCTCATCCGCCACGTCCCGCAGTGCCGGCTTGCATCGTGAAGGGGCTGACCAGCAACTTCTCTCTCTCCTTTGCTGATGGCACCAACGCCAAGTCGGCGTTTGGGTTCAAGATTAACAAGGCCAGCAGGAAAGTGGTTGCTAATGTCAGGATCGCGCCCAAGACCTCGACATCAAAGGCGCTTGGCAGCACGGTCGTCTGCATCAACCTGCCAGGTGAGGGGGACAAGCCAACTGGGGCGCCGGGCAGGGCTGCAAGGATTGCAGGGGCAAAATAAAGCTGTCCCTGTTTCCCAGGGTGCTGCACGTACGTATGCGAACAGCGCGACAAGCTGTACGATGTCGCGGCATCTAGCTGCCCTCATGTGGTAAATCCACACGCCTCATGCCGCAGCCACATTACACGCAATACCCCTCGCCGCTTCCTCGCAGCCGCCGCCGGCCTCTGCAACACAATCGGCTCGCTTTGCGGTGGCAACACGTGCAACGTGAACGTGACCACCTCCAAGTTCAAGCCGGCCAGCCTCACCAAGCCCAAGTCGCTGCCGTGCTGCCTCACCGGCAACGTCAACATCCAGCAAGGTGGGGGGAGGGAATACGGCGTGCTGTGTGGCAAGGCGCCTGTCTGCCTGCACCCAGTCAAAAATGGCACACGCACACATGGGATGGGGAGCAAGCTGTTGAACCCGCGTTGCTTACATACACTTTCACACGGGCGCCCCACCGTAAGCCCTCATGCGGCCGCCCACATTCAACGCTTGCGCTGTGTTTGCCCTTCAACGCCGTTCTTGCACCCTTGCCCCAACCGCGTCCTTGCGCCTCCTGCTCGGAACCCCCAGCCCCCTGCTACCCGCCCTACCCCGCGCAGCCTCCAACCTCGTTGCCTCGGGCCTGGCAATCACTGGCAACGCCGGCCCGCCCGCCACCCTGCTGCCGGGCCAGACAGCCACCGCCAGGTTCGTAGTTACCAATGCAGGCAGCAGCGCCTCGCCTGCGACCACCTACGCGCTCTGGGCAAACAAGGCCAGCGTCGCCGCCTGCAACGACGCCGGCCCCTCCACCATCGCCGCGGTGCCCGCGCTCGCGGCAGGCGCCGCGACGACGATCACAGCTGTCGTAGCGCTCCCGGGCACCGTGGGCGCCTACACGCTCCAGCTGATCGTGGACTACACCTGCAGCGTGGCCGAGTCCAGCGAGGCCGACAACACCGCCTCCCAAGCCTACCAGCTGGTCGTCCCCGCCGGCCAGCTGCCGGATCTGATGATCACCAACATCCTGACCAACCCCAGCCTCACCGGGCTCCTCCCCGCGGGCCAGCTGGTCAACCTCACCTTTGACGTGGTCAACCAAGGCACCGCCGCGTCCCTGCCCGGTCTTTACACCATCTTCAACAACCTGCTCGGCCTGCCGCTGTGCGGCGCGCTCGGCACTGTGTCCGGGGCACTGGGGGCGCTCGCGCCGGGCGCGAGCCAGACGATCAACGTGCCGGCCTTGCCGCTCACCAGAATCCCTGGGCTCAATACTCTCCAGATTGTGGCGGACTCGAACTGCTCCAGCATCGAGGCCGATAAGACAAACAACGTCGTGGCGCTGCCCAACAACATCAACAACCCCGCTGGTCTGCTGCCGAAACTGGTTATCTCCAAAATCCTGGCCAGCCCCAGCCTTGCGGGGCTCCTCCCGCTGGGCCAGCTAGTCAACCTCACCTTTGACGTGGTCAACTCGGGCACCGCCGCTTCTCTCGCCACCGTGTACACCATCTTTGACGACCTGCTTGGCCTGCCGGTGTGTGGGGTGGCCGGCGCCGTCACTGGCGCGTTGGGGCCGATTGCGGCGGGTGCGACCCAGGCTGTCAATGTGCCCAACTTCCCGCTCGCCGTGGTGGTCGGCGCAAAGACGCTGGGGATCGTGGCGGACGCGAGCTGCACCAACTCCGCCAACGGGTCGTCGAACAGCTTTGCGGCGCTCCCCTACATCATCAGCGGTGTTGATTTTGTGCTCACCAGCCTGTCTCTTGTGCCGGGCACACCTCCCTTGGGGCTCCTGTCACCGTTTGCCATCAAAATGACGATCACCAACGTGAGCGCGTGGCCGGAGCTCATGTGAGTGCGTGCGTGCATGTGTGCGTGCACGTGTGAGTGTGTGTGTATGGGGGGGAGGGGGGCATGTGTGCAGGAAATTCGTGTGTGTTTCAGGTGCATGTTGGCGCGTTCGCGAACCGTTTCAGGTGCTTGCTTTTGCCTAGACGTGAACCCACAAAGGGTGCCTGTGCATCTTTGGGTCGTGGCGCCTGCCCGCTTGCCCGTCCCTGCGTGCATGAGGGCGGGTGTTGCTGATGAATCGCGCACGCCCTGATCTGCGCACAAGGCCACTTCCTGGCGCTGCCAGACCGCGCATACAAGCCCCTACTTCATTCCTTCGCCCCTGATCTCTCCACGGGATGCCTCGTCGTCCCAGATCGGAAACATCGCGGGCGACCCGGGCGTCGTCGGCGCCTTGTCCGCCATCACGTCGCCCCTCCTTTGCGGCGACCCCCTGCTGAGTGGCGGTCTTATGGGAAGCATTCCCTGGACTCGCGGTGCGATCCCCCCAGGGGCTACAGTCACAGCTCTGTTCCCTGGTTTCCTGTCCACTTTTCTGGTGGGGGTTCCTATCAACATCTGGATTGTCGTCAGCAACCTGGTGAGAAGCATGCTCTGGGGGCAAAAGCGTGCCGGTATGTCGTGCTATATATGCAGACCGCGCGCTTTGAGTAGCGCTCTATTGGTCGCATGTCGAAGCCTCAGGAGGGCAACACTGCTGCTGCCACGCTAACTGCAACCCGCCCACCTGTTCCGCCCGCCCAGTTTTGCGCGTCAACACACCCTGCCCTTCGCTTGGGCCTGGTTTTACTGCTTCCAGCCTCACCCACCGCTCTCCCCCC